CAACCGAACCTGTCTCCTCTGTCGGTGCTCTGATTGGAAGCAGCCCAGAAACCTGGGCGCTCATTGGCCAAGGCAAGTGCTCGTCCGCCCTCGCTCCCAGCCGCTTGTTAGCAAGCTAGGTGGCGCGGCGCGATGGCCCGTCAAGGGCGCCCGGAGAGTGACCCTGGGACCCCGGTGCGGCAGCCATTGAGGGACGTGCCGTCCCGCCCCGCGGAGAGGCGCGGTCAGGTGTGGTGTTCCATTGTGCTGAGAGGCCCGCCCAGTTGACCTGTCTACAGTCCAGGGAGGGGCGGGTCTGTGCTGGGTGGAGGGCGGTACACGCCCTACGTGAACCGGGACTCCGCGCTGGCCTGGCGTCACCTGCCTGCCGCCGGAACCGTCCTCGGAGGACCTCCTCGTCGGGATTCTTCTAAACCTCCTGGATAGTTGCAGCTGGGACGCTGTTCGGGCCCCCGGCTCCGACAGAGAACCAGTGGCCCGTCCTTAGGGCCCAGGAACACCTTGCAGAGAAAGCCACAAGGGCAGGTGACCTGCTGTAGTCTGAAATTGCGCTAGACTTTGCCTTTCGGTCTCGGTTTGACCCGAAGAAGGCAACAAACAGGGTAGGAAGGTAAACAGGTTTCCCAAAACATACCTTGGCATGGGCAACCTAATGGTTTCTAAATGGAGTCTCTGGATAAATCACTGATCTAAAATGGGGCGTGGTGGCTCCTGGCTGTAATCCCAGCACTCTGGGGGCTGAGACAGAAGGAGCATTGCTTCGAGATCCAGGCCAGGCTGGGCAACAGTGTGTCACAAAAGTTAATAAGTCAATAAAAGTTCTGTACCCAATCTTAAGATGATGGTGATAGCTGTCCCCCAAGAAGCTTTACACAAAGTTGCCTCTGTGCCATCTTTTTAAACAAACCAACAAAATTTAAGAATCTTATTAGCCGGACAGTGGTGGCACACGCCTTTAATCCCACACTTGGTAGGCAGAGGCAGGCTGATCTTTTGTGAATTCGAGGCCACCCTGGTCTCCAGAGCGAGTTCCAGGACGGACAGCCTCCAAAGCAATACAGAAAAACCCTGTCTCAAAAAAACCAAAAAAGGGCTGGAGAGATAGATGGCTCAGAGGTTAAGAGCACCGACTGCTCTTCCAGAGGTCCTGAGTTCAATTCCCAGCAACCACATGGTGGCTCACAACCATACGTTATGAGATCTCTTCTGGTGTGCAGGTATACATGGAAGCAGAATGTTGTATACATAATAAAATCTTTAAAAAAAAAAACAGAAAAATAAAAGTCTTTTCAGTCAAACCAAAGGAATTAAAACCCTTTTATCTCCCCCCACCTTGGAAGACCTTTTTGGTTTTTCTAGACAGGGTTTCTCTGTGTAGCTCTTGTAGACCAGGCTAGCCTTACAACTCACAGAGATCCTCCTGCTTCTGCCTCCCGAGTGCTGGGATTAACGCCGTTCGCCGCCACCACCACCCTACTGACGCTAAACATTTCTAACAAGGAAAACCTGCTACGGCTCCCAAAGCAGTTTCTTCAAACAAGGAAATTTGGAGTGTGGGGGCACTTGCATATTTATGCTGTAGAGACTTGCCATTCTGTCTGTAGGCGGGCATGTTCCTGCAGTGCCAACTCAGGCTTTGTCATGAAGAACAAGTTTTAAAATGGCAGAGAAGTGTGGTGTGGTGGCTCCTGCCTGTAATCAATCCCAACACTCAGGACTGCTTCCAGTCCTAGGCCATCCTGGGCTGTGGTCTGAGACCCTGTTGCAAAAGACACAAAACAAAGCTGTTGGGGAGCACAGCCTAGCAGCAAAGAATTTAACAGACACAGTGCAAAGTTTATTCAGGTTGCCTAGGAGATGGACTGAGCACCTTTCTAGTAGTCTACTCTGCTGCCAGTAGGAGGCAGCAGCTTCTCCCTGCCTGTCAACAAGAAACTTCCTTGCACAGGATTTAGGTTTTCTTACACCCTCACCAATGTGTGCCATCTTAGATATTTGTACCAAAATATTTTTTCTCCAAAGGTTGAGCGGGGAGGATGTTTTCTGGTGAAAAGCCTCTCCTGCCCTATCTGGGCTGAATTTAGCTTAAAAATTGGTATTGTTTTGTCTTGAGAGGAAATTAAAGAGAAATTTGTAATAGAAAATAGTGGCCTCTTGAACAATGAGAAGGTTGGACTTTGCTGCTGTCTGCTTCCACTGATTGACAGAGGCTGTTTAGGTCTATGAAAGCCCCAACCTTTCCGTGGTTTGGGATTGCTATCTGCCTCATAAAGCAAAATAGAGGAATTGTCCTCTGGGAATACAAAATTATCTTCTCTGGAAAACCTCCCACATCATTGGCTTTGACATTTTCTAGGAATATTGGGGGGTCTTATGAGAAATGAGAGTTTTCCAGATGAGGTCAAAAGAATACAGCAACTGCAACTAGCAAATCCTGAATGTATTTACCTCCAGAACATGCATCTTCTATATGAGGATGAACCTTAGCTAAATGCCTACTTAAAATGCTTTCCACTATTAAGATTACAGCCATCAAGACCACATGCCCTTGCCGGGCATTGGTGGCACACGCCTTTAATCCCAGCACTCAGGAGGCAGAGGCAGGCAGATCTCTGTGAGTTCCAGGCCAGCCTGGTCTCCAGAGCAAGTGCCAGGATAGGCTCCAAAGCTACACAGAGAAACCCTGTCTCAAAAAACAAAAACAAACAAACAAACCAAAAAAACCCACATGCCCAAAACAGTAACAGATGAAAAACAAGTTTTAGGAGTTTCTGTTGTTGTTTGTTTTTGAGACAGGGTTTCTCCGTAGCTTTGGAGCCTGTGTCCAGGAACTAGCTCTTGTAGATCAGGATGGTCTCGAACTCACAGAGATCCACCTGCCTCTGCCTCACAAGTGCCAGGATTAAAAACCTAAAGAACAGGCTTTTAAAATTTCCAAACATTTTTTTTTCTAGCACCAAGGGCTTCACTGATACTCTATACTTTATCCCAGTAGTTCTAGAACTAAAGATTGGGGGAGCTTGAAAGTTAGCCGAGCAAGAGTACTTACTGCTCTTCCAGAGTTCAATTCTCACCATATTGGATGGCTCACAAACACTTGTAACTCCAGCCCCAGTAGATCTAATGCCATGTTATAGCTTCTGTGGCACTCATACATGTGGCATATTCTCATACAAATACAAATTTAAACAAAAAAATTAAAGATACATGTGGCATATGTACCTTTTGGTTTGGTTTTTTGAGACATGGTTCATCTATTTAACAGTCTTTGTTATCCTAGAACTCACTTTGTAGACCAGGCTGGCCTTGAACTCACAGAGATCCACCTGCCCCTGCCTCCCAAGTGCTAGGATTAAAGGCGTGCACTACCATGGCCTGGCTTTGTACCTCTTTCTTAATTGGGGGGGGTGGTATATTTTACCTTGAAAGGAATAGCTCAGGCCATCAAGATGACTTGGTAGGGCCCGGTGTGGTAGTGTACAGCTTTAGTCCCAGCACTCCAGAGGCAGATTTACCTAAGTTAGAAGCCAGCCTGGTTTACAAATCAAGTTCCAAGACAACTAGAGTTACACAGGAACCCTGTCTTGAAAAACAGAAACAAAAAAAGTGGCTTGGTGGATGAGGATGCCTCCTACCAAGCCTGATGACATGAGTTCAATGCCTAGAACCCATAAGGAGGAAGGAGAAAATTGACTCCTGAAAGTTATCTTCTAACCACAAGAGTGTGTGTGTGTGTGTGTGTGTGTGTGTGTGTGTGTGTGTGTGTGTGTGTGTGTGTGTGTGTGTGTGTGTCTCACTTGGTTTACTGTTTGCATGGTGAGAGGACAGTGATTCTGGTGGTAGGTCTTCTTCCATTTTTTGTTTTACATCCCTCTCTAAACCATTGCAATTAAGGCTTGAAACACATGATGCAGCCCTGTGATTTTGGGTTGTCAGGCTCCAATGAGATTGTCTAAGTTAAAGTACACTGTTGAGGATGCCTCAGGGGTCAGGAGCACTTGATGTTCTTGCAGAGGACCCAGGTTCAGTTCCCAGTACCCTTATCAGGCCACTCAAAACCTCCTGTAATTCTAGCTCCAGGGGCTCTGACTTCTGGCTTCTAAGGGCACCTGCACTCATATGGCATATACTTGCACACAGACACACACACACACAAATATATTTTAAAGTACATTGTAAATAGGATATAAGAAGTAATGACTGTCTTTAACCACCTCTCCCTCTTAAATAGAAAAAGAATGAGAAGACTAGAGGGATGGGTCAGCATTCAGTTTCTAGAACCCATGTGGCCACTCACAACTGCCATCCAGCCGGTCTTTCATCAAGCTTAGTCATGCTTCAAAACCTCAAGTCTCTTCTTCAGGAAGCCTTCCTTTTTTACTTAACTTTCATCTTGAGATAGCATCGCCCTATAGCCTGGGTTGGATTGGAAATCCCCATGTAACCTAGGCTGCTCTCAACCTTGTGGCAATTCTCCTGCCTTAGCCTCCTAAGTGCTGGGGTCACAGGGCTGAGGCACTACATTGGGTAGAGCTCTCCTTGACTGTCAAGTTTTGATCTCATTATAATGTTTTCTCTTTCCTGGCAGCTGGTCTAGAAAGTATTCAGGACAAGAACTGCATGGGTTAATAACTTTGTGGTACTTCGTATCAAACCCAGGACTTTGTCCAAACAAAGACAAGCCCTCTATCAACTATATCCTCCACAAAACACTTTTAAGTTCGTGTCTTTGTATCCTCCACAAAACACTTTGGGCCAAGCATGGTGGTACAAGCCATTAATCCCAGCACTGGGAAGGCATAGGTGGGTGGATCTTGGTGAGCTTGAAGTCAGTCTGATCTAGATATCGAGTTCTAGCCAGAGTTTAATAGTAAATCCTGTTGACAAAATACATAAATACACAAATCAATGTAGAGAATGTAGCTCTATTGGTGGAGTGCTTGCTTAGAGCACAAAGCCCTGGTTCTTTGTACCGAATAAAGCTGAGTGTTCAGCCTATGATCCCAACACTCAGAAATGGAGGCAGGATAATCAGGAATTTAAGGTCATCCCTTCTCTTTAGCCAGTTGGAAGCCTGCATGGGCTACATGAAATGCTCTCAAAAACAATAATAAACGGCCAGGAGGTGGTGGCACACACATTTAGTTCCAGCACCCAGGAGAATCTCTGTGAGTTTGAGACCAGCCTGGTCTATAGAGCAAGTTCCAAGACAGGTAGGGCTGTAACAGAGAAACCCTGTCACAAAAAAAACAATAATAATAAGCCAGGCGTTGGTAGCGCATGCCTTTAATCCCAGCACTCAGGAGGCAGAGGCAGGTGAAATCTGTGAATTCGAGACCAGCTTGGTCTACAAAAGCTAGTTCCAGGACAGCCTCCAAAGCCACAGAGAAACCCTGTCTCAAAAAACCAAAAAAAAAAAAAAAAAAAAATAATAATAATAATAATAATAATAATTAAACAGAAAAAAAGTATGATTTCCCCCCACTACCACCAAAAAAAGATGTGGATGGTGCCCATGCCTTTAATCTCAGCATTCAGGAGCTAGAGGCAGGTGGAACTCTTGAGCTTGAGGCCAAACTGGTCTACAGAGCTAGTGAATATCCAGGGAAACACTGAGAAATCCTGTCTCAAAACACCAAAAACCAAACAAAAAAGAAAAGTCTGACCTTTTGGCCTAATGAATTTACAACTTGGGCCTATCAACCAAAAAGAAATACATATGTATACATATGCAAATTTTCTTTGACCTCCTGTTAGACTCTAAGGGGACACAAAAGCCCACCCTGAAGATTTTACAAAAGAAAACCCCAACACAAATAGTCAAGGTAGAGATACCATTTTCAAGAAGGTGGTAGAACAGGCAAGCATAGAACAGGGGTACATGGTCCACCTCACCACAGTGTGTTCTCTTAGGGGGCCAGCAGCCATCTTCAAGGTACAGTTAGGACAAGGTAGGTTCAAACAGGCCCTGCACTCTGAAAGACCCATGTAAAAAGTGGACTGGAAACTGCCTCTTTGAAAGTTCTTTTATTCTCTAACTCCTCAGACACATGGTTGGCAGAAGACCTCTATCTCCCCTTCAACATCTTTGGAAAAGGCCCCTCACCAGACCTGGGTTTTCCTCCTTGGCAGAATGGACAGGCCGGTCCACCATGAATCTCTCCTGAGGAAAGAGCTCTCTACCCCAGTACTTAAGTCAAGCATTTCCCCCACAATTCATAGGTGAGGAACTGACATCTTAAATGTCAAACCACTGCTCCTAAGAGTCTGTGCCTTGGGGCTGGAGAGATGGCTCAGTAGTTAGGAGCACTGGGTGCTCTTCTGGAGGATCCAGGTTCAATTCCCAGTACTCACATGGTAGCTCACAACTGTAACTCCAGTTCTCCAGTATCCAACAGTCTCACACAAATATACATGCATGTAAAACACCAATGCACATAAAATAAAAATATTTTTTAAAAAAGGGTTCCTGCCTCACTTCAGAAAGACCCATCCAAAATGGAGTCATCTTCTGTGCCTGACCCCCATCACAATGGCACTCCCACAGAAAGGCACAGGAAGACTGCAGACCATTTGAAAACAAAGGCTATAAAGTTTATTAGTTCTTTTCTGTCTCCCCACAGAAACTTGTATTCCATACTGTCATGGCCCAGGGCATGGGCACCTCTAAGAAAACCAGCTGTGGATTCTGAGGTTATCTGGAGAGAACTGCCCTTCCCTCAGGTGTATACAAACAGCCACTTTGTGTTTCCCAAGGCCTCTCCTCGCTGTCCTTCACACAACACAGCCTCTCTTCTGAAGCCCTTTTGAGCAACAAGGCCAATCCCAACTTCCGATGCATTCTGACAGGGATGGAGTTACTGGGCTCTCTCCCCCTTTTATCAGGCCTGAGGGTCCTCCATACAATGTCCACCTGTCCCAATTCCCACACTGTCTGGTGCTTTTCTTAATGCCACAACCCCACACACCACTAGCAGTCCACAAACTGGATGCCCTGTGGCTTCCCACTGCTAACATCAGATGGGCTTTCACCATCTCACTTGGCACCACAGCCTCGCCACCACACCACTCCCTCAGAGGGAATGGCCCCTCCCCAAATGCTCTTTCACACCAACCCAGCTCTTTCTGCTCCTTCCAGAAAGCTGTTGATTATTCTGGTTAGAACCAGTCTCCCGTCTCCAGCATAGGACTTTCCCAAGGTGTCAAGGAGACTACTTATTTCACTGTTTCCCTTGAGCTAAGGAAATACAATCCTTGGAGACAAGGTCCTGCCAGACATCCTGTTTCTTTCATGGGGCTCAAGTGTTTTGTGCATAATCTAATTGACCCTTCATAGAAATGTCTTAACAGACACAGAATGAGAAGATTATCACTTTTCAGGAAAGACATGCATCCTGCTAGAAATGGACTACTTCCCAAAGAGAGCCTTAAATGCTTTCACCAAATATATACTTGGGGCCCAGAGTTGGGTTGAGAATGAATGAACTAAGAATGTGGGCAGCCATCAAGGTTTCACCCATCAACTGCCTAGAAGAGCAACTCTGCAGGCCTTGCTCCCAGAACCATTTGTATTCTCAGGCTTTTCCCAGTAAGTACCACTAGAGATCTGAAAACAGCTCTTCTGCAGCTCATCAGGACATGCAGAGAGGGGCAGGTCAAGGTTTGTAGTCAGTATTTTGGGCAGAGCCACCTACTGTTTCTAGCTGTGGGCTTTGGGAACATCCTCTGTGAAAGATGTCAGGAGTGAGAGGCTCCCAAGTATCAAAAGGTCATGTGTGATTCAGGGGCATGCCAAGTCCCTCCTAACTTTGCCATCGCAAGCTTCATCGCTGAATGTCTCCTGCTTCTCTGGGAGGAAGAAAACAAACATCTGGAAAATTATGACAAAAATTACAGGCAGCCACTGGCATTTGTGTTCTCATTTGTAGTTTCTGGTTTTTGTTTTGTCTTTTAATTTTTTTCCTAGAAAAGAAAAACAGAACCAGAGGAATTTATATGACAAACTATCAGTGTCAGAATGACAGGGATAGAGAAAGAAAGGCCAGAGGAATGGAAATCTAATAAAAAGTGGGTTCCAAATCACAAGGAACTATCCACAGGGTCAAGTCCTCATTCACTTTGGCATGCATGTTTGGTGCCTGGTCTTCTGGCCTGCTCCCTCAGATGCAATGTTAGAGAGAGCTGGCCACACACTTCAAAAACCTGCCAATGATAAGCTCAGGACTTCACAGAAAGGTAGTCTTAATTAGCTCCTTGACTTTGTGCTCAGGCATCACCTGGCAGCTTTTCTTGCCTCAGAGTAGGGTCTGGAAGAATGGGAGAGTCATACTGGGGCACACTTTGGCATCACAGCAGGGAACTCCAAGCAGATGCTTTCTTATGGGCACACTTGGTCTTCATCTGCACAGGCATTTATCCACATATTCCCCACTCTTTCTGGCCAAAGAATGGGGAGGTGACAGTCTTCTTGTAGTCACAGTTCAGTGACTGTATTCAGTCTGCATTCTTGCTCAAAATGTCTGTCATCTTAAGGGTGAGAGGAGATTGAAATCCATCTCCCTTTCATCAAGCATTAGACCCTCACTCCAAAGAAGCTCACAAATGAACAAGAACAGCTTGCCTATCTGGATCCAAGCTGCAGGCCTTTCAAATCCCATCCACCTTATGCCCCAGGTCTCCAGGTAAAACAACAAAATAAACAATAAACAATAAAACTGGACCCAAGGCAAACAGAATAATTAGAGTAACAGCCTAGTAGCACACCGCAAGACCAGCATACATTCCAGAAGGGAAGAGGAGCATGCAACAAGCTGTAGCCCCAAGTCACAGGCTAGGGCACACATTGACTCTGAAGGCTACAGCCAGGCCTGCACATCTCACAAGAGTCCTGACACCAACCTGATGGGCCTCTGGGTGGAATACTTTGTGGAGAGTGGAGGGTCCTGCCCTGCTTGGCCCCTGTGCCTGAACTGAGGCCAGGTTACATCTCAGTGCCACAGTTCTGAGGAGCACCACGCTGGCCAGCCAGCCAGGCCATAGTTCTCAGCCCCGCGGGGGCCATGTGGCCCTGTTCCACAGAAAGGCCCCAGGGAGCAACAGCTGCCTGGAAGAAGGAGCCAGGACAGAAAGCCTGCATTCTGTTGGAGAGACTGGAAGGAGTGACTATAGGCTTGGAGGGAGCTATGGTCCAAAATATTGCAGAGCCATAAGGGATGGGCTCCATTTCTGAACAACAACAACCATATCCCTGTTTTTAGAAAGAGAGCATGGCTGCTATTGCTTGGTTTTGTTTTTTTCCTTTTAAAACCACTCACATTAAAAGGTGAAGGGACTGGAACACTCAGTCCCCTTCACTGGGGTCCTCGATAGGATCAGTCTCTTGCCTGGTTCTGTTTCCTTGCCTGGCTCCAACCACAAGAAGCCAGAACAGGGCAGGAGAGCAGCTGTTCTGCTCCCCAACAGCAATGCCTTCTCTCCAGAAAACCAGAACACACTTGAGGAGTGGCCCAGAGACTAAAGTGCAGAGAATCCACAAAGTGGACAGCTGGGCCTGGGGCACTCTAGAAGGAATGAGAGAGTCAGCCCAGATAGAGAAGTGGTACAAATGCTGGGCCTGGCAAAGTGAATCTACGTGGCACAGTCCCCTTCCCTTTGTGCCCTGTTGGCACCTCTCTCAGGGACTGTCCACTACCAGCAGCAACCCAAGGAAAGTCCCAGTTCCAAAGACATGGCCCACAGAGGGAGGAAACTTATCTGACCATCCATGGTTGGAAGGAGCTAGTGAATAGGAAAGGAGCAGAGGATTCTAGGAGGGGAAAGAGTGCATTATATAAAATCAGAGTCCCAGCTATGCGGAGCAGGGACAAACGGACAACCCTAAAGGCAGAGTGTCACCTGGGGGAAGTTTGGTGAAGATGGTCAGGGTCCTACCGGTGAGACCTGCTGGGGGAAGTGGCTCTTCTGGGTGTAAGAGGAGCTGTGGCACTGGGGGAAGGGCTGCTGAGGAAGAGAGCCCCAGCTGGCGTTAGGGCGTGTAGGCAGGGGGTGGCTGGAACTGGTTGATGACTTCATACTCTGCTGGGTAGGGGTCATTTTCTTCCATTTCGGATAGTAACTCCAGCGCTTGCTCTTCTTCTTCCGTTGGATAGTGGCGCAGGAGGTTGGCTGCAGTAGCCAGGATTGAAGCTCCACCAGCTCCTGCCACCAGGTAGAAGCTAACAGCAAAGGTGACATAGACTTAGGAGCCATGGTACTTCTTATGCTGTTGCTGCTGGGCCAGGATGAGCTCAGAAGCCCAGTAGGAAAAGCCAATGACGGTAGCACACTGTAGGACTGGGAGACAGGGACAGCACAGAATGGGGATCAGCAGTCAGGATGCTTAAGGAATCAATCATAGCCTCTCACCCAGTTCTCAGAGGACTTGCCCAGCCCAAGGCTCTAAGGACTTTCTTGGAGATGAGATTCTTGGTTTGGGCTGAGAACAGTTATTTAACCACCCTGACTAGACAGGGTCTACCTTAAGAATTACTGTTCAGTGGTAAGGAGCGTGTCTAACATGCACAAGGCACTGAATTCAATCCTTAGTACCACCCCATCCCCCTCCCACCACAAAAAAGTCTGGAAAAGAAGAGAAAGAATTTATAATTAGATAATAAGGCTCCTGAATGCTGCTGGGTACTGAGAAGGAACAGGTAAGATCATGCAGTTTTAGAAACCGAGTTGAACTGAAGTCAGTCACTATCAAAAGCCACACACAAGCCCAGGCCTGGATGAGGAAAGTGGCTACATACAGGCAGAGAAAGCAGACCTGGCAGGGAGATAGACTTAGGGGGAAAAACTGACCATACACACAAGTCCAGACAACCAACTCCTTTCATGCTTACACTAAGCCCTGAGTTTCTGTGAACTTCAATTGTCATTTTTATAGAGCCACGAGACTCCTGTGGAATGCTAACATTCCCTCTACTCCTAGGTAAATTATTCACAAATGACAGAAGTCAACACTAAGGCACCTCATGCCTGAAAAGCTAGAGCTTATCACACAGCTCTCTACAGAGAAACTATCCCTTGTACCACTATGCCCAGGGCAGGTCCTCTCCCACACAAGTAGACCCTGGCCTTACCAGTGAGGATATGAGCAAAGGCATAGCGACGAGTAATCTTCAGAGCTGGATGCTTGGGCCCAAAGACATCCAAAAGGAATGCAGACAGACTACACAGGATGCCCAGGAAGCAGAAGGCAGCAATGACCCTCAGGAGCAGCACTGTCTGGGGGTTCATGCAGTAATCTGTGGAGAGAGAATGGAAGCTTCATGTCAAGAAACACCCTGAGGTAGGCAGTGTGATCTTGGTTTCCCTCCTGCCTAGTATCCGGGAGCCAGAAGCCCTAGAGGACACTGTATGAGCTCCTACCACCAGCTGCTCTGTAGCGGCAAGGAACTTCCATGCTGCAAACTGAAGTCACCTGTACACCTCAAGTCCTTTTTCCAACAAGACTAATCTAGGGTGACTATGTTTCTTCTATATGTCTTTTTGAGACAGGGTCTCATGGATCTCGGGCTGACCTCAAACTTGCTAAGCAGGGGTGGAGAATGATCTCAAATTTGTGATTTCCTGCCCCCACCTTGGAGGGCTACAATTACAGGCATGCACCACCACATAATAATATGACAATAATTTTATGACACAAACCAGGGCTTCCTGTATGCTAGGTACTCTACAAACCAAGTGCCATGCCAGTGTCTGCCCACACCCCCTTCTTCCTTTCACTTTGCTTCTGAGACAAGAGTCTCAATGTATAGCCCAGGCTGGCTTCAAATCATGATCCTTCTGCCTCAGCCTCCTGAGTATTGGAATTACAAGTGTGTGCCACCAGACCTAGCTTCAAATCATTTTTCAAGATCTTGACAATTAATTAAGCTGGCATGTTAAGCTATTTTGGTAAAGGATACTTTGGGCCAACAAGGAAAGGTCATTGACTTCTGAGCTGAAACAGCCAGAGAGACCAAGGCCAGAGGTCAACTGATGCCCATTCTCTACTTATTAATTCATCCCTTCTGTTTTCATTCTAAAACAGGAGACACTGAGCTAAGTGAAGTAAGTTAAGTCAAACAGAGAAGGCCAAATATTGTGATTCTGTTCATGAGATGCCAAGAAGCCAGAATCACTGACACAGAGGAGTAAGATGGTAGCTGCCAGGAGCTGGAAAAGGGGAGGGCAAGGTGTTAGTTGACTGTGAGTTTTAAGTTTGGGGTCATGAAAAAGTTCTGGAAATGGACAGTGGTGAAGACTAACAACGATGCAAATACGCCACTGAGCTGAACAGTGGTTCATCCTTGTAATTCCAGCACTTGGGAGGTGTTACCAGGAGGTTCAGGAGTTAAAGGCCAGTTTCTGCTACTTAGCAAACCTGAGGCCAGCCTGGGCTTCCTGAGACCCTGCCTCAATCACCACCCTCAACTGCACCCTCTACAAAAAAGGGAGAGAAGACTTCGATTAGGACTAGAGAGTTGAAATGCAAGCCAGCAGTGGAAAAGCTAAGAAGTTATACACTAGAAAGTTTAGAAACGAGAACATGTATGATACCAAAATAGAGGGTAAACCAAGGAAAAGAAGTGCTAAAACAGGAACAGCAACATTCAAGGAGTCCCTAGGGTGACAATCATGCACCAAAACAGGGCAGCTTGTATTCCTTGAAGTGTTTAAACACCTTCTTTTAAAAATTTCAATTAAACAGTACTGTCAATCTACTTTGATAGCTATGGAAACTGCAATGGCTTCCTGGAATAAAGGCTGATCAAAAGACGAGCAAAGGCAGGTCATATTGGTGCCCACCTTTAATCCCAGTACTCAGAGGCAGATCTCTCTGAGTTAGGGACTATTCTACATAGTGAGTCCCAGGTCAGCCAGGGATACATAGTGAGACCCTGCATAAAAAAAAAATGAATGAATAAATGAATGAATGAATGATTTAAAAAGGGCCCAGAAGTGGTGGATCACACCTTTAAACCCAGCACCCAGGAGGCAGAGGCAGAAGGATATCTGTGAGTTCGAGGCCAGCCTGGTCTACAGAACTAGTTCCAGAACAAGTAGGGCTACACAAAGAAACCCTGTCTTGAAAACAAAAACAAGAAAGAAAGAAACAAGTCTTCACTTCTTCTCCCTCCTCTTCCTCAGCTATTACCAAGTGCTTTCATTTAGGCCATAGGTCACTGAGTGATTTAGGAAAAACTGGATAGAGCTGGACAAAGGCTACAGGCTCCTTTCTTGATCTTTGTGAATCTTCAATTTCTAGCATACATCTCTATCTGCAATCATGTGCTGCTGCAATCATGTACCAGGCTCCTCAAGGGTCTGGGAGCACAGAAAATCCCCATACAAGTAGTCCAAGTCTCCAGTCCCCAAAACACCAATACTACATTCCATAAGAAGGTAAACAGATGGAGGAACGCCCAAGAAGCTAAGTGGCTCGACCCTCTGCCAACAAAAATGATTCAAATCAGCAGATGCTGGCCATCATGGAATCTTGAGCAGTGGGAGATGCCAAGCATTTTGTGACTGACATATGTACTCAGCCTCAGACTCAAAATTCTCCAGGTAGATGCTGGCTGAGCCCAGACAAGGCTCAGGTGCCTCCATCTGGCTGCCTTTAGAGTTATCTGTCATGATCTTAACTTCGGAGGCTTGGGTGATTACCTACTGCCATGGAGCCTGCCTATCCATGAGTTCTGCCAGAAGCTAGCATCTGTCCTCATTGCACCCAGAACTGCATCTTACAACAACAGGGATTCTGAAGGGGCCCAGGAAGAGAGGCTTGACCGAGAAAGGGCTGACTCCTGTCTCTGAATTGAACATTACTGAAAACTGAATCAGTTCTTTTTGGAGTTTGCATGGCATGTGGGAATGCTGGGACAGGATTCAAGTGTTCCAATGCCACCAAGAATGCCTGCCAGAGACAGGATGTTAAGGGCTGACATCATGGGCCACTCTGCAGTTCACCTGCGTTACTCTGTGCCGCCAGGCACTCTGTGTGAAGAAGGGAACACAAGAGACTTCAAATACACTGGTTTTTGTTTCTTCTGATGATGGTTTAATGTATTATCCTTGAAAACATGCACCTGCTATATCCATGCCTATGTGCTTTACATTTAAAAAAAATTTTTTTGAGACAGAGTTTCTGTGTAATAGCCCTGGCTGTCCAGCTGTCTTGGAACTCACTCTGTAGACCAGGCTGGCCTCGAACTCATGGAAATCCGATGCCTCTGCCTCCCAGGTCCTGGGATTAAAGGCATGAGCTATCACTGCCCGGCTTACTTTTATTTTAATAAACAAGATATGCACATGACAAAAAGATTCAAGAAAGAGGCCCACCTTCACCTGCATTTCTCTAGAGGCAGATATGGCTGAAGGTACAAGAGCCTGTACACACAAATGGGTCAAGTATTATCTTTGCCAAGCTTGACTGCCACCCTGGAAGTCATTACACAGTTCAGATGAGGAGTCAGAAGCTCCAGAAGATTAAGTGACCTCCTCTAGGTCACACAGTGACCCCCAGACACTGCAATGTGCTGCTTGGAAACCTAAGCATCCACTGGCAGCTTTTATTATTTTCTTGATGGAGATAATCAATCAAACTCTAAGGAGGTGTATTGAAAAGAAGGGTCAAATGAACTAGTATGAACGTTGTCCAAGACAGCAGCTGCTGAGCTCATGAAAACAGCAGCTGGAGGACTCAAATTCCACCAGCAGTAACAACAACAAAAAGGCAAGAAAGCCGTGGATCGTTGAGTGATGGGCAGTGTTCACACACGGGCTTAGGGTGAAACTGGCTTCATATGGTGCTTAAACCTCTGCAGCACTGAGGGCATCTGAGCACAATTCTGCTCATGAGTTAGTGCACCAGAAAAATATACCTGGTCAAATGCTAGGTCTACCACAGGCTACAGTCAATCTTCAAGTCCCTAGCTGGCCTGTTTTAAAGGCTCAAATGAAAGCAGCAACACCTGCCTCACCCACCACAGACAGGTGCTAAGAGGGAAAGCAGTCACCTATTCAACCAGACTGAATAGAGTGACTCTGGACAGAGGAAGAGCTCCTGACACCAAGTTCAAGCAGGTTTTGTTTCAACTGCCCTTCTCTACTTCAAAGTTATAGTGCTTAAGGCAGTGGTTCTCAACCTTCCTAATGTTACTGCCCTTAACACAGTTCCCCATGTTGTTGTGACTCCAACCATAAAATTATTCCACTAATACCTCATAAGTAATTTTGCTACTGTTATGAATTGAAATGTAAATATCTGTGGGTTTTTGTTTTTTTTCGAGACAGGGTTTCTCTGTGACTTTGGAGGCTGTTCTGGAACTCGCTCTAGGCTGGCCTCGAACTCGAGATCCGCCTGCCTCTGCCTCCTGAGTGCTGGGATTAAAGGCATGTGCCACCAATGCCCGGCTAAATATCTGTGTTTTCAATAAACTTAGGCAACACCTGTGAAAGGGTGGGTTGAAATCCACACGTTGAGAACTGCTGAAAGCCAAATGTGAGCTTCCCTTTGGGTGGTGCTAACATTCCCAGAGAGGGGTGGCAGGGCAGCAGTGTCTTACCATGAGGTAAGACAGGAAGAGCCCTGATCAAGAGCATCTCCTAGGGCCAGAAATTTGAAAGTCTCTGGCTTCCTTTCCTAAATATCAGTATGGCAGGGAGAGCAAACAATACTCCTCCTTCCCCCAGAAGTCTTTTAGAGATACTAAAGCTCCAAAGGCTAGGTAGGCTAGGAGTGACTTATTGTGGGAGAGAAAGGCCATGCGGGGCAGGGTCTTGACTTTATATTTGAGCCAGTGGTTTGCTACACTACATTCCAGGCAGACAGCATATCCTATCCTCCCCTCCAGTTGTATTCTGACCTTTTTATTTTGGTCAACACTGCTTGACTGTCCCTTCTAGTCATCAGGAAGAAGGCAGCTGCTATGTAATCAGATCCTAAGGAACTGACTTTGACCAAGGTCACTCATTGGTGAGTCACAGGGCTGGATTTGTTTTGAATGCTTTGGCTCTTCCTGTCTACCTGTCTGTGGTTGACCCTCTCTTGACCTATGTGGGCTGAAGGCAGAAAGGCTGAAGTGGTTTCAGACCAGCTTCCCGCTGTTCTTCCCTTCCTTCTTCCTCACTAGGGGTCCTGTGGGCTAGAGGAACTCCCACTGCCCCAGTCTCTCCAAACACCTTCTCCCCAGCTCTGCATCCTTCACTGTAACTCTTGGCCAAACCTGACACGGACCACCAACAGGGCTCACCAGTGTCCAGATGGGTTATCTTACAGTTGTCAATGGTGCCAGCCAAGCCTCCTGAGAACAGCCCCCAAGGGCCTGGTGATGGCATCAGTATCTGTCACTACCCATCAGGTGCACAGGCCCTCCATCCTTGGTCCTCCAGTGGCTGTTGTCAATCTTGAGTCACTTGACATCAAATCATTCTCCAAACTGCTCATTCTCCAAAACTTACTCATTCTCCAAAACTGCTTCCTGAAGCTGGTGGTGGGGCTGCCCTGCGCTAGACACACTAGAGAGGCAGAGAGGGCTTTCAGGGGGTTCTGTCCCAGACACTAAAAGTCTGTGCTTTTCTAAGTCTTCTCTGGATCTAAGCCCAGAGAAGCTATGTGAGAAGACTCAGAACAGAATCTGTTGAGCTGGCATTTGCTGAAGCCTTCACACATCTGGTCACACAGCAAGGGTGAGTGGCTCTGCCTCTGGTTCACCAAGTTGAGCCTGAAACCTGAGAGATAGTGTGGGCACCAAAAAGCACAGCTCTGGCTGGGCTTGACAAAAATACAACCAGAGAGGCTTCGGCTTCCCAAATCTCCCTTTTACTTTGCAAAGGGTCTTTTTTTTTGGTGTGTGCCTTGTTTTGTGTGTGCATTTCCTCACCCCTAATAAAGCTTTCTTTTACTGGTGAAAAACAAGAAACCAATCAAACAAACAAACAAAAACCCACTCCATCAGAATAGTAAAGGAAAACAAACTCAGAGGGCACTAAGGTTTGATGGTAATAAGAGTGTGGACTTCAGAGTCGCAACTTGTAACATCTATGTCTAATCTCCTACTCTCCTTGAGCTGGGGGCCTTTGTGAATAAGGATCAAATTAAGACAAATATGAAGTGTGCTTGGTACACAGGTTTGCTTCAGAGCTTTCTGGCCCACCTCATTCGTGTTACCTGCAGAGACCTAGCAGGGTGTTTCCCTCAGTAAGTATCTATAAGCACTCATATTTGCCCAGCACAGCTCTACTCCCTCCTGGAATTGGGCTATTCCAGGCTTCCAGGGTAGATCATCTGGCAGACCTAGAAATCAGCACAGTCACACAGGATTCCGTAAGTCTGAAGGTCCACGAGGTACCAGAAAACACAAATTGAGAGCAACAGAAACGAAGCAACGAGAGACCAGATTCCTTGCCTTCTGCAATGGCTCACAAGGCCCCAATGCCAATGTTTCTATTTATAGACTGCAGCTAAGTGATCCTGGCTTACAATGGCCAAGGAGACGAGCAGAGCTGGCAAACCACACATGGGCTAAGATACCTAAACACACAGCAAATGCAATGTATAGGTTAAGACATCATGTATGAAAAGGACAAAATTTGGTTTGAATGATTTATTAGAAAGGACAAATATGGCCAGGTGGTACGCCTTTAATCCCAGCACTTGGGAGGCAGAGGCAGGCAGATCTCAGTGAGTTCGAGGCCAGCCTGGTCTACAGAGTGAGTTCCAGGACAGCCAGGATACAAAGAAACCTTATCTCGGAAGAAAAAAAAAAGACAAATACTTCTGTGAACAAACAAAACCTTGAATCAAGAACTGATTTTTATTTTAACATGCCTTTGACAGGGACATATATAAGCCAAGGCAAGGTATCATGAGATCCTTTTTTACAACAGCCAAAGTAAAACAAGGGATAAACATAATTAAGGAGACAGCACCATTTTATTCTGGCATCAACAGATGGGAGGCAGTTATCAGTGATGCCACCCAGCAGGGTAAGCCTGGGGAGCTCGCTTCACTTTTTTTTTTTCCTGGATCTCTACACCATTTGAATGCTATGACCCCTCCACCCCAAGGATGACCTGTAAAGGACAATCATCATAAACTCTTTCCCAGTTTGTGTGACACTCAACTCCTGAAACAGAAATACCACGGGAACAAATGCAAAAGGCCTGAATGAAGACAAGTGCAAAGAAATGGGAAAGCATCCAGTTCAAACTCTACAGCCTTTCTGCCATCAGGTATATGCTAAGAAAAAGCTGCCTATCAGAAGCCCTCCATCCAGGGTATATATAACCTTGGTCTTAGAAGACAAACTCAGGAAGAGGGTGAAAAAAAAGTCTCAAACCAGAACCTCCACCCTGTCTTCTATAAAAATCATCCTAAAGCCTTAAATGTGCAAAGAGAAGCAAACTGTTAAAGAGAACTCACTAAGAAGGACAACACTAGGATAAGGCTTTTCGGCTTAGACCTACAGCAGTGTTTTTATTTCAATTCAGAGGGGGGACGCTGACCTTTTCACCAAATTCCAGGGCTTGAGCCCTTCATGAGATACACTGCACATATCTAACAGCAATGCACCAGAACTAAAGAGGGCAAAGAAGAAACATGAAAACCTCTGAGACTAGTTCCAAGGACTTGAGGGCAACAAGATGTGACCATTTGGGGCCCACTGACTGACCATTTTTAGATTAAAAATCAGGAAGTATAGTACTGCTTTCACACCGAACAGCTTTTCTCCTTACTCCTAGAATCAGAGGAGGAGCTATGAAACTCCTGAGACAGGCCCTCCACTAAGCTCTGGACTCCCATTTCATCCAACAAACAGAACAGGTATTTTCTTCTGCTGCTGGTCTCGGAAATCCACTGACAAATAAAAGCAACCATCTCAATCAGGCATACCTATAAGGGCACTGAGAGTCAAATTCCAACTGTTGAGTGTGGCAATGGAACTGACATATGATGACCTGGGATGCCAAGTACCTCTACTGTAAGTCCAATTATCATAGAATACTAATATATCTTTTACAACTAGTCATATTGACAGTTCTGTTTTCTCCATGAATCAAGCTACCCCCAAACAACTTTTCTGAATCTCAGGTCTGTTAGAAGTGGGTGGCTAATTGTGACACCTATCACCCCATTTCTTCTACCTATTAAAGTGCCCTTCCTCTGGCAGAAATCTAAAATAGCAACATTCTGAATTAACATGACGGTGAAGAATAGGTGCTTGGCTGAATAACATCAGAACTGATGAGGAGCTAGACCCCCCCCCCCAAACAGAGCCACCTGGTGGGCATGAACACCAAGTAAGAACGGGGCTGTTGCCTTCAACAAATGATTGTCTATGGTTATCTATGCTTCCTTCAGCCAGTCCCACGTTCGTTCTGCACCACCCCTCAAGCCGGGAGAGCAGGAGCTCAGCGCCCTCACCTTTCAGCAGATCCGGGTGCACGTAGCCCAGCACGTCCGAGACCCCCAGCTCCTGGCGGGAACAGGTGCCTCCGTGGATGTGCAACCAAGCGGGCTCCGCCAGAGCAGTACACAGCGCTGTGATGGACAGGGCGCCAGGCAGGGCCGAAGCCAGGCTCCGCTCGGGCTGCTTGGGCAGAGCG